CGGGATTATCACCTCCACCTCTGGTGCAGTAGTCCCCATCATTTCTGAGGGATGCACTCCGCCCAAGCTCCCTACCTTAGTTGCCTCTATGAATAACTTCACCAGTATCACTTGTAGGCCGTGGGAAGTTGGGGCACATCATACCCCTCAAAGGAATGGGGAACTCGGCAATAGCAAAGGCAACAGAGCAAAGGTTTCCCTCGATCTCTTTGAGACCGGTCTCAATAGGTTCGATGGTAAGCTCAGTGAGGGGGCTCTGGAGAAGCGCATAGCGTGCAGACAAGAGGCGGCCAGAAAGATAAGTGACGATGAAGTAAAGGGTGACAAACAGTGGTGGGGGGTGGCGATCAAGCTTGGTGTCGGAACAAACAGCATGGTAGATAGCGTCAAGCGAGCATAGGTGGGTGACTAGGTTAGTAGTAGTGCGAAACGCTGCAAGGTTTGGGAAAACGAATAGAATGAGGAGGCAGCCCAGGAAGGTAGAGGAAGGAGTGAAAAAAGAGGAATGATAGTATCAAAACAATCCTTTGCATACATGACTTGGGCCGAAGTGGACGGCCTCGGTTAGCGAGAGACGATCACAGAGAGCGAGACGAGTAGCTGCATTACGGGACTTTCAGACCGAGCGTTCCAATTGTCGCCTAGCAAATGTCTCCCACTCTGCCTCACTCGGCTCGGTAAGGAGTGGGGTGGGACGCGGAGGGATGGGCAAATCACCGGGCGTGTGGGCGATGACACCAACACGTGGTCTGTAAAAACGCTTTCAAATGCTCTCCGCTATGGCTCCATCACTAACTTCAAGACCATCAATGTCCGGCTTACTAGTATAAGTTACAACTCGTGAATACATATTCAGAATCTGTCAGAATATTATGCTCTAGCCTGTAGTGGGGTGCTCTGTAGCGAGTACAACCCTTCTAGCGTTTGCTATTTGTATCCCCATTCTTGCTAGTGCAACCCCTCTCTTTCGCCTAAACTCTCTTGCCTAGCTAGGACTCTCCTAGCTATGGCTCCTAAGACTACCGCTTATCTCAACATGGTATCAGAGCTTAACGTTCCTGGCCTGTGGGCCCACTTCACTGCTTCCGCTGCTACTGCTACTCCCTGTCCGCCGCGCGCCCCGTGGTGCGCGGCGTCGAAACTAGGGTTTTCAGCCCGCCGTGCGCCCCGAGGCGCGCGGCGGTTCTCTGCCCGCCGTGTGCCCCGAGGCGCGCGACGGGTTCCTGCCCCGTCACTCGGCACGTCGCCCCCGGGAGGCGCTGCGACGGGCGACGGGGACCCGCGCGTCGCCCCCCGTCGCCCGTCGTGGCCTGCGCGCGGCCCGTACACCCGGCGCGCGGCCCGTACGGGCTGCGCCAGGCCCGCGCGCGGCCCGTACGGGCTGCGCCAGGCCCGCGCGCGGCCCGTACGGGCTGCGCCAGGCACGCGCGCGGCCCGTACGGGCTGCGCCAGTCCCGCGCGCGGCTCGGACCGCCTGCGCGCGGTTCGGGAGGCTGTGCCAGGCCCGTGGGCGCCCCGTTCTTCGCTGCCCCTGTCCTCCCCGCTGTCCCCCGTGCTTCTGAAGGCGCCCCACCCCTCCTTCTGCCCGTTCTCCTGGATTAGGGTTTGGGGTTGGGGGGTATGGGGGTGCAGCTTCTGTGTGCCGTTCCCTGCTCCTCCTCCTCCTCCGTCTCCCTGTGCTGCAGCTGCCGCTGAGGGGGGTGGACCTGTTGGAGCCGTCGGAGTGGTACTAAGGGGGGGTGAAGGGGGAGTGGAGCTAGCGGTGTAGCAGCGGGTGTGTGTCGAGGGATGTGGGACTGTTGGGGGAGGTTGAGGGGAGGTTGCCGTCGTGTCGTACGCAGCGCCTGTACTCCGGGGCACTCACTCCCGGTAGCTCAGAGAGCCGGTTGCGCCGTCGCCTGTGGGTCCGTTGCTCCTGCTGCTCGTCTTAGCCGCGGAGCCTGTTACTCCTGTACTCCGGGGCACTCACTCCCGGTAGCCACTGTGTCGCACCAGAGCCGTCTGTTGCCCGTGTGCCTGCAGCTTCAGTCGTCGCCTCCCATCTACTCTCCTCTCGCCAGCCCTCCTCCTCCTCACTTGCCCGTTGTGACTACCACTAGCTTTGCTCATAATTGTGAACTTTAAACTATTGCTTCTTAAACTTGTGCTCAGAATGTGTGGTGACATTGTGATCCACCTTGAGCTTGTACTGCTTTGCTTGCTCTGCTGATTACACCCCACTTTGGCTATGGGGGTGTGTCAGAATATTATGCTCTAGCCTGTAGTGGGGTGCTCTGTAGCGAGTACAACCCTTCTAGGGTTTGCTATTTGTATCCCCATTCTTGCTAGTGCAACCCCTCTCTTTCGCCTAAACTCTCTTGCCTAGCTAGGACTCTCCTAGCTATGGCTCCTAAGACTACCGCTTATCTCAACAGAATCTACTCATTAATGCTTGCTTTTGGCACCAGCCTTATGTTCACAGAGCTAACGTTGGATTGCTGTCACTACTCTTGCAGAAATTCGTTTTTCATGTTAAGAACTACACATAAACCTCAAGACATCCAAGATGGCATGTGCAAGTTAAGATAGGTGCAATCCAAGGCTGGAAACGCACATACAAGAAAATATTTCAGCATAACGTCTTTAGAGTATCAGCTTTTGCTGTCATTCTACAACCATCAAAACCAGAAATTTACACAAAGTACCAAGCAACATTATTTCTTCAACCATATGCTTTCCACCAACAGAATGGTTGTGCTGTTTTAAGCTCTTCACGACAGTTGATCATGAAGGATAACTGTAGGTCTGGATCCGTTTTACGTTCCAATGAAACATAAGTTTATCTTGCAACCTACCGTATGCCTGCCCGTCGGAATTTGTACGTCTTTATTCAAGTGGCTGCCGGCGACGAAACTGCCCAACATAGGTGTTGCGTGCATAAAACTGTTTCACGCGCGACAAATGCTGACCTATAATTTTGAGCACTTTTCGACCTATCATTAGCGAACCTATCTGCGAACTTTTCGTGTCAGAATTCCAACAACTAGACCATTGGGATAAAAGGGCTTGTTTGTGTAACGGGTCCGTGCGCCCATAACCCCCCAAGCGAACGCGCATGTAATCCCCCTTTGATCAATCGGGGATCTTACTGTTCAACTCTACTGACACCCCCCCATATTGGGAGGTCTAGGACTGAGCACAGCGGCAACAGCCTACATGTGCATACACCGGGATTCGAACCTGAGACCGCTCTGATACAATGTCAGAATCCGAACCACTAGACCATTGGGATAAAAAAGTTTGTTTGTGTAGCGGGTCCTTGCGCCCATAACCCCGTTGGCGAACGCGCCTTTAACCCTTCCCTAGGATCAATCGGGGATCTCACAGTGCAGCTCTATCATTATTATTGTGATGCACTCAATCTTGGTAAAGCAAACCGTTTGCCTGCTCGTCGGAAAATGTCTTTGTACAAGTGGTGTACGCTGGCGTCAGCAATTTTTTATGCATACTTTGAATACAAAAAAAGCACCCTTTAGCTCATCCTTGAACACTTTCAGGGCCGGCAGGTCCCTACTGCAGCTAGAGACCCATTACTAAAGGTGTTGCTACTGTTGCGTCTGCTGCTACTTCAACTTCTGCTGCTGCTGCAGAGTTGCACCCGCGTCAGCACTAGCACCACTTGGCCCACCAAAAGAAGAGCTAGCACCCTCAGACGTATGTGCACCCCCCCCCCCCAAACCAACAATACCCACGACCATGACTACTCCTGCGCCATCCCCACCCACCAGATGGGGCAGAGGCAGTTGCGACCCCCGCTGTACTAGTAGGCTCAGCAACAGTAGTTGAGGCGGTTGGGGTAGAGAACTAGGGTGGAGCTCATCCCTCAAAGATGTGGGGACAACCGCACCAATGGTCGGTGATGCGAAGGCGGGTCTCGATCTCAGTGAGACAAGTCTCAAAGAGACCTATTGTGAGGCTCATAAGGTGCATAGCGATGAGGGATTGCGGACAGGTGCGTGGCGATCAGGGAGTTGGGTCGCTAGGAAGTGCGGGATGAGATATGTGGGGTGGCGTGCTCAAGAAGGTGGTCTGCAAATCAAGCAGCGGGAACCTAGTGTTAAGCAAGCGCATGTGAGGAGTGAGGTCATGGACAGTGGGGAAAGCAGGGAGACCAGGGAGGAGGAAAGGCAAGAGGAGGAACCCCAGGGTAGCAAAGCAGGAGTATGAGTAGCAAGAAACAATGAGAAATAGTTACTCCTTTGGCGTCTCGACATGGTAAAAGTGCACTTGGGACGCGGTGTCGCGTCACGTGACCCCCGAATCAGGTATACAAGCTGGGCTACGCAGCACCTCCCGCTCTGTCGACGTGAGCTCAGCAGCAAGGGAAACAGGACGCTAGGGGGCAGATAGCTTACCCGACACATCGGCGTAGAGGGAAACATCGTCCTGGCACTGGCTCCGCAAGTGAGCGACGTTGAATAGCCACACGCCAAAGTAAATCGCCCGCCCCTCTACATCGAGCCGCAGTAGGAACTCAGACGCCGTGACAGGATTGAGCAGGGGGGCAGCTATAGCGGATGAGAGGGGACGGCCACAAGCGAAGGAGGAGACAGACAAAGGTAGGCTGGCAGATAGCGGGCAACACACCAGGAGGAGCAGCGATGCGGCCGCGGCAGGGCGATAAAGGGCTGTTGTTGCATGCGCGCTGGCGAGCAGCACCTTCAGGCGCGGCAGCAAGTCGTAGCGGTAGGTGCGGTGACATGGACAGGCGCTACGGCAGGGGCGACTGACAGGCGACAGCGGAAGGCGCGGCAGTAGGCGCGGTGGCAGGCGTGGCCAGGAGGCACGGCGACAGGCAGGCGCGCGATAGGCACGGCGGCAGCTGCTGTGCGGCAAGTGCTGCTGCGACAGTTGTGCCTGAACCGACAAGCGCACCGGGGCGCAGTGGTGAGATTTGGCGTGGCAGGACGTTGAGATGCGCGCCGACGCGCCGGCCCGCGAAGAGGCGAGATGACAGGGCCATGGTGAGGCGGCGATTGCGAAGTGCTAGCGGCGCGACAGGGTGGCGAGCACAGAGGTAGAGGCGAGGCGGGGCCGCAACGGTCCCGTGAGGGGGGGAACGCTAGAGAGGGCGGGGGAGGAGGCTCGAGAGGAGGGGGTGGGGCGCTATATGTAGCTAGGTAGGTATGGAGGGCTGTGAGGGCACGAGGGTTAGCTAGGTAGATAGGTGGGGCAAAAGTGAGTGACCCAACATACTGCGAGTATACCATGTCTGAAAATGAAAATGACCATAGAGCAACCCAACCTAGCCTACAAAGTACACAAGCAAGTCTATATGTGCACGCTGACACATATGCATGTGTGTGTGTGTGTGTGTGTGTGTGTGTGTGTGTGTGTGTGTGTGTGTGTGTGTGTGTGTGTGTGTGTGTGTGTGTGTGTGTGTGTGTGTGTGTGTGTGTGTGTGTGTGTGTGTGTGTGTGTGTGTGTGTGTGTGTGTGTGTGTGTGTGTGTGTGTGTGTGTGTGTGTGTGTGTGTGTGTGTGTGTGTGTGTGTGTGTGTGTGTGTGTGTGTGTGTGTATGTGTGTGTGTGTATGTGTGTGTGTGTGTGTGTATGTGTATGTGTGTGTGTGTGTGTGTGCGTGCGTGCGTGCGTGCGTACGTGCGTGCGTGTGTGTGTTGGGGGGGGGGGTGCGCGCACGCGCGCGTGCGTGCGTGCGTGTGCGCGTGCGCGCGCGTGCGTGTGCATGCGCGTGCGCGTGGGCGTGCGCGTGGGCGTGCGCGTGGGTGTGCGTGTGCACGTGCGTGCGTGCGCGCGTGCGGTCGCGCATGCGTGCGTGCGTGCGTGCGTGCGTGCATGCGTGCGTGCGTGCGTGCGTGCGTGCGTGCGTGCATGCGTGCGTGCGTGTGTGTTTGTGTGTATGTGTGTGCATTTTAGTTACACTATCTTGTGTAACACTAATGCACGTTTGGCCAGGTGTTATGAGTGTAATTGAGCGAGCAAGCGAGGATTACACTATCGAAGGAAAATAGTACGATGAGCAAAGGTTGAGCGAATGTTATATAGCGAACTAGGTGTGGTAATGGTAACGAGAGAATTGTAGGGTGGGTGACGGGCCTTGCACTGAGGTTGGGAATTGTTGAGGCGGAGGACCGGAGCGCGGGTTACCTGCAAAGCCGTGAGTGCTATGTGCGGTGTGAATAGTGGTGGGAACATTAGTCATTGCGTGTGTCGCATGTGATAACAACGAATTTTTGCAATACCGTCGGCGGGAACAGTCAGGTACACGGTAAGTAGGGATGCGAAGTAAGGAAAAACATTTTTTCTTACACTACCTCCCTCCCCAAGGAGCCCCCCCTTACGAGAGTGCATGTACATCCCAGAATTTGCGGCTGCGCTGATACTCAGTGGAGGCAGGGTGATTTTCGATTCTATCCAGGGAGACCCAGTTGTCTTCAGTGGGCTTGCGGTCTTTCCAACGAATCAGTGCACGTCCCCTCCCTCGATCGATCGCGAGATCGCTGTGAAAAACCAATCGGGCACATCGATCGCATGATTGTGGGGGGATTGGTAGGAGGTGACAGTCGCGGATCGATCCCGAGCCCTGGGTGACAGGTTCGAAAATACAAGGGGGAAAAACTCCCAATTCTACAAAAGCCGAGATCGGTGTGGCCACAAAGGCACATCGATCGTCATCAGCGGAGGTGACAAGATCGTTGGGCACCAGTTACTGTACATTCGCAAGCCATCTCAAAATCGGGTTACCTGTCAATAGCGACACTGTAGGTGTCCCTCGATTGATCAAGGGCAGGATCGATCGAGGGAGGAGACGCGTCCTTAGAAACTCGATCATGCGAGCTCCACGTGGGTCACGAACTCGGTAGCTCATAATCTTCTTTGGTGTGATGATTTGCTCTGTTGGTGGTCGTGTCATGCTCGATGGGCGGCTGCGTGGAATTGGCTTGTGGATGGGATGCCATCCGAGGGAGGCATCAACCTTAAGCACATACCTCCATATGTTTAGAATTGATGCCTCCCAGACCGGATGCGTGCCCGAAGTAACGGGTCGGCGGTGGCGATCGGCGTTGCGCTTAATGATGATGTTTTACTTATTGATGGCGTCTGTGGCTCGGTTCTGGGCGGCCTGTAAAATTTCGGGGAGCTGTTGTGCGCGTGGGACGGGGTTGTCGGAATTCGGCGTCATGGGTACTGTAGGGTTCTGTCCGTAGTTGAGGTAAATCGGCAACTATTGTATCGTGGCTGACGTGGAAGAGTTGTATGCGAATTGAATGAGCGCCAGCTGCTGCTCCCAAGTCGCTGGGTTGTCGCACGTGGCTCGAATTAACTGCTCCATGGTTTGAATGGTCTGTTCTGTTTGACCGTCGGTTTCGGGATGGTACGGTGAACTAAACTGTAGTCGCGTGCCGAACTGGTGCTACGGGTTCCTCCAGAAGTTGCTGGTGAATTCCGTGTCGTGGCCGCTGATGATCGCCGCGAGTATCCCATGCAGTGGAACGATGGTGGAGATGAAGAGTCGGGCCGTTTCTTCGGCCGAGATTGAATTCCTGCGAGCTGCAAAATGTGCCATTTTCGTCAGCCGATCGACGACGACCACGATCGCGTCGTTCCCACTAGCTCTAGCTGGTAACCCTGTGACGAAGTCCATCGTCACCTGCTGCCAAGCACGCTCTGGGGGTGGTATCGGCTGCAACTGCCCTTTCTGTCGATGCCATGATGATTTCATGAGCTGGCAGGAGGGACACGATGCCACGTGTCGTTGCACGTTGGTCAGCATCTCGAACTAGTAGTAATATCGCTGCAATTTGTGGAGTGTTTTTTCAACCCCAAAATGTCCTAAGCAACCCCGTCGTGTGCCTCATGTTGCAATAACTCCCGTAGCAAGATAAAACCCGGTACCCATATGCGATCTGTACCGGTTTTTACGTAATACACCCCTTTTGCTGCTGCGAATTGCTGCGAACTTCCATATGTGAAGAATGGGTCTGTCTGGTAGCCATGGGTAATTAGTCTTGTACACTGGCTGGTTTGGGTGAATAGTATAGCATATATTTGGGCAGTTGGTCGGGTCAATGCGTCGGCGATATTTGAGGCTCCCTTTTTGTAGGTGACCATGTAGTGGAAGTTGGACTCGAGGAATTCGAGCCAACGAATCTGTCGTGCATTGAGATGGGGCTGTGCGTGAAGGTACTGTAGAGATTTGCAATATGTTAGTACTGTCACGTCGGTGCCGGTCAAGGAGCAGCACCATACCTTGAATGTATGCACAATCACGAGCACTTCGCGGTCGTGTACCAAGTAAATTTTCTCGGGTGGGTGCAATTTTCGTGACTCGTATGCAATGGGCTGTAATCCGTTTCCAATGTCTTGTAGCAGTACTGCTCTGATGGCGATGTCTCTAGCGTCGGTACCACTTCCAATGGGCGGTGTGGGTCGGCGATGCGCAGTATGGGTGGTGAACACAAAATAGTTCCAATGTCTTATAACAGTACTGCTCTGATGACGATGTCGCTAGCGTCGGTAACCACTTCCAATAGGCGGTATGGGTCGGCGATGCGCAGTATGGGTGGTGAACACAAAATAGTTTTCAGGGCAGAGAAGGCAGCATGCTCTTCCCCCTCACCTCCCCCCCCCCCCCCTCACGTAGAAGCGACCCCCTTCCGCAGTAAGTCTGCCAGTCGGTCAGTTAGCCGTGCCATGTCGGGGACGAACCGGCTGACATAGTTAACAAACCCCAAAAAGACATACAGTTCTGTGATATTGGTCGGGACGACGCCTTGACGGTATCCAATTCTTTTGAGTCATTCTTTACTCCAGCCTCCGAAATAACGTGCCCCATAGATTCTAACTTGTCCATAAAAATTTCGCACTTTGGACCCTTTGTTAGTGGACGGTTCTCGTTCAAAAGCTTGAGACTTCTTCAAGATCTGCTACGTGATGTCGCTTGTCGCTGCTGTAAACCAGAATGCCATCGAGTCAAACTATGACGCATTTATCTAAAAGCGGTCTAAACGCCTCGTTTATGGTCTGAAATGTTCCTAGCGCGTTGGTCATCATGAAGGGCACTAGTGTGTGCTCGTATGACATGTACCTAGTTCTATAAGCTGTCTTGACACAGTCGGTCGGTTCGACTCTAATCTGGTGGTAACTGCCATGTAAGTCAATCTTCGGAAAACCCTGGTTGTTCGCCGCTAGTCGATCGATTCGTCGGCGCAGGGGATGGGGTATCGTGATTCCACTGTTACCCGGTTTAGTATGCGGTAGTCGATGCACATGCGAAACCCTCTTCTTAAAAAAAAAAAAAAAAAAAAAAAAAAAAAAAAAAAAAACAGCATTGGCGCTGCGAACGGTGACGAACTCGGTTTGATGAACCTTTTTCCAGTAGATAATCTAACTGCTCCTTTGGTTCGCCTAACTCGGGCTGTGTCAGTAGGAACTGTCGCTGTACGGTTGGTTGTGCTCCTGGCTCTAACTCTATTCGGTGGTCAAGTGCTCGTTGGGGTGGCAGTCCCTCCGGTAAATCATCGGGAAAGATCCTCGAGTACCATTTCAGTAGCTCCTGCAGTTCGTACGGTACAGGTGACGACATTGTCTGAAAATCACTCGGCTTCTCAGCTTCTCCCACCTCCATGATATCTACCGCATATACGTCAGCTCCAGTGGCGACGACCCGTTTCATTGTGACGGCATTGACGTGGACCGTTGAAGGCTCAGGCGACTGCTAGCGAGTTAGTGCGACCCATTTATCGCCGCTTCGCACCATGCAGTTGCCTGTCATCCAGTCAATTCGCGCGTTGTAGCGTCGCGACCAATCACGTCCCAGTAAAATGTCGTGCCCATCCAGTGTCGTCGCGAGCATTTCCTGTGTAAACCCGAAAATTTTCCCGCAACGAATCTTCACTCTCTCCACCTTCTCCCGTATAGCCAGCAGCGTGCCGTCCACTAAGAGTGCGTCAATCTCAGGTAAGCAGCGGATAAGTGTCAGTTGCAGTTTCCTTGCAGTTGCGGTATTAACTAAGCTGTGATTTTCTCCTCCGTCATTAAGAATCTTCACTGCTAACCCGTGTATTTTCCCATGAATCAGTACTGGGCAATATGTCAATGTACCCTCCTTATTCAGCCGAGCCCGATCGATTGCGTGAATCGGTATCGCCATTCAGTGAGGGTTAGTGAGGTCAGGCGAGCAATGAGTCTTGTCAGTAGTGGGCGCGTACTCTACTGACTGCTGGCGTTTTCTTGCCTTCTGGACTCCCTCCCCTGCTCTGATCCTCCACGCCTTAGCTCTTCCGTGCACCCGTTCTTGCGATAGTTTGGCCGGTTGCACGCGAAGCAGCACCCTTTAAACAGTTTGGCAGCTGCATTCGTTGCGACAGTATGTACAGTGGCATGCTCGGTTGCCCCCCGAGTACGATGTCTGTAGTAGGACCCTGGCCTCGGACGGCGCAAAATGTCGATTTTCTCCGCGAGCACCAGGATTTCGTTGAAGTTAGAGATCCCACGTAGTAGGATTTTTTGCGAGATTCCTAGCTTCAGGAATCCACTTGCTCTGCATCGTACATGTAGTTGACATGTTCGCCAGCGCGAGAAAACCGCTGGTGTAGTCTTGAATTGAACCAATCTGCCGCCAAGTGCGTAGCTTCTGACGTGCTGAGATCGAATCCCTGATCGGCTCGAAGCGATTCCGAAGCCATGCGCACCGTACGTCCCACGTGCTGTATTGGGCGGTTTCGCAGAACGAGCTCCATATTACAGCTGGCCCCGAGAACCTTTCCTCTAGCGCAAGTGGCTCGTAGGCGCTCGACGATGCCACGGTGACTGGCCGCCAGTCCATGGCAGGGCCCGGTGGCAACGATACCGTGTATAGAATCTTCACTGCTTCCGGCGTGACGTAATTCGCGTAAAAAAATATGTTCATCGTGGAGACCCACGAAAAATCGTCGAACCTCCACGCTGGCTAGGATCGAAATAGGGCGGGCG